TTAGTTTTATATCTTATTTATTTAGCTTAATATAAATTTTCAAAAAGTGTCTACAATGCTTTGGTAGCCCTCTGTATTTTTTAAATAGATTTATTAATTATTAAAGCCTAGACAAGCTTTGAACAATCTTGGATACTTGGACAATTTTAGATATAGACAAGTCAAAAAAGGCTGTGGATAGCCAAAATATACAACACTGCCTCCAGGTAGTATTGTATATTTTGGCTATCTATAGCCTTTTTTGACTTGTTTATATCCAAAATTATTCAAGTATCTAAAGCTTATCTAGGATTTAATAATTAATAAATCTATCTAAAAAATATATAACTATATATTTTTTTAGGTGCTAAATTTATTTTAATTAAAATTAAAACAGGTTATCTTAATAAAATTTTAAGTAATTTTACTTTATTTAATTGTTCAAAATTGTTTAAAATTGTTCAAAGTATTGTCCAAAGCTATTCTATAACAATACTGCCTCCAAGATATATATAATAGCTATAAACATAATTACATCGTAACAAATAAAAAAAATAACAAAAAGAAATTTTTTCATGATTATATGAGTTTGCTAGATAATTAATAATATAAGGCTCTAAGTAGTGATGCAATCCAAAATCTGTTAATCCAGATATCTGCTTCAAAATCTGATCCTATGCGGATAACAGATATTTGATCTAAGAGAATAATTCACATTGGATGTATCCGGATTATCTGACAAATATCTGTTATCTGTCTGATTTTAAGACAACAGATAGCTATAAATCAGCAATGATTAATTACAGTATATACAGTATATAGTATATATTTAATACTAAATTCTTTGGAAAAGACAATTTGCAAGTAACAATTGAAATTAAATAATACTTCAAAAATCAAAAATCAATTTGCGGAAGGTCCTTAGTTGGTAGAATTCAATTCCTAGCGAGCGTTCGTTTAACAATGTTGATAGCTTGTTAAAATTGATAAAAAAATATATTATTATTGAAAAGAATACAGTATTGACAAATTTCAAAATTTCTATTCTTTCAAATAAAATTATATAAAAATTTGCAAATTTATTTACAATAAATATTATTTTATTTGCTTTGCAATAAATATAACAAAATATATATTATGAATTTCTTTGCTTTAATAACTAATATGTATTATAAACTTGCATCGTAATAAAGCAATGATAAATATAGCGATTTAAAGTTATTACATTTGTCAGATAAATCAGACATCTACTAAACAAATAACAGATTCGATATCTTATCTGATCTCAAATAATGGATATCTTTTCACGGGTCAGATAGGATTCAGATATTCAGATTGCATCACTAGCTCTAAGAGGAAATTTTTATAGCAAAGTGCTAATTTAGGCTAATTTAGTTTCTTACTAGCACTATTAACGAGATTTTGACAAGGCTTTTTGACAGAGTATGAAAATTTTTTAATTTTTTACACTCAGTCAAAAAGCCTCATCGAAACCTTGTTAATAGTGCTAGTAAGAAACTAAATTTGTCTAAATTAGCACTTTGCTATAAAAATTTTCTCTTAGAGCCCTATATATATTATTAATAATTTATACCAAATATAGGATATTTTGTCTCTTTCACAAAAATATGAGATTTTAGCAAAGAAGTACTTTGTGGAAATCTTACATTTTTGTGATAGTATTAAAATATTACATATTTAGCAAAGTTTAGCAATATGATAGGATAATATTAGAATATCAAAAAAATTTTTTATATTAAATTGCAAATACAGTTTCCTGCTAGCTCTTTACTAGATGACTATAAACAATTATATTAGGCTTTTAACAATTTCATGTTTGGCCAAAATTTTCTACAGTTTGTTTTAATCTATTACAGAATTTAGAAATACTATTATAAGGATTATAAATATTTTAAAAAAATTAAGACTATTATAATGAAATAAAATTCGTTAGACTATATAAATAAAAATTTAAATAACATAATCTAGTGGATTGGACGATTTTTTACTATAAAATTAAGTTTTGTTATTACTGTTAAGAATCAGAACCTTTTAAATTTTTTTTTACTTAGTTCAGCCAGTATTAAGATAATTTTGGGCCCATGAGCCGCATAATTCAGATTGAATAGAATAATTTTTATGTGATTAGACGGTTCTAGCCCAACTATCATATAGTTGGCAACATTCTTAATATAAATGAGATTATAATTTTGCTTTATTATTTACAAACTGCTACAAAGGCATAATACACACATCTACTATAATAACATTACACTTACTATATATTAATATGTTCTGTATGCAAAAAAATCTATAAATGTTAGTTATATATACAAGATTATATTAAAGATTCTTGATAAATTTTCATATAATAAAAATTTGAACTGCTGAATTTATATTATAGTACATAAATTAATAAAGCAATCATTAAATAGATGAACCTTTATTCTTATTATATACATAATAGATTGAGTAATTTATCTATAAGAGACCTTATTTTAGAACAATAAGCTGTTATGTCAGCAAATATTTATAATAAGAAAAGGTTGCATTTTTCATTACTACTGCATCAACTAAATAAAGTTATACGTTATCTGAAGACTCTGTATCAATTTGATTAAGATCTAATTCATTTGCACAATTTCATTGGCTTGCAATGGAATAGTTATATGAAGAGTAAATTGATTGAGCTTCTTAATTTTTGTCAAGACATTTTCACTATAGGATGGTTTTTCTTTGTTATGAACTGCAATCTAATAATCGACGTGGATTTTCAAACTTTTAGCAATAAAGTTTTCAAGTAACTTAAGTGAGAATTGAGATTTTTTAAACTCTGAGAAGTCACTGGCTTCAAGGTATTTGCTAAGTTTTTGTCACCAAACTTTACTAGCAATGAATTGTTCGATATTTTCATCTGTTGGATCACTACAGTACATATTGATATTAAACCTATAGATAATACATTATATAATATTAAATAGTGGGCTGATATTATTTATCTTATATTCTGTACGTACTAGTTTTTAACAAGTAAATCCTTGGCAAGAGCTGTCATATCCTTATTAAATGTACATCTAAAATTATCAAAGTATTCACATATTTTCTGATATAGCAGTTTAAATTCTTTAGTTACTGGGTCTATTGATAGAACAATTTTCTTAATTAGTTTTTCACGCATTTTTTTAGAAGGATTTTATATGCATAAAAACAGAAGTTTGCATTGTTCTATGACAAGATTTATTATAATTTTTTTATCCATTGGCTCCAAGAAATTAACTTTAGCCTAATAAATATATAGTAAGCATATAGTTTAGAATAAAAACTAATATATACATGTATTATAAATTAAACAAACCTTGTTTGATAAAGACGCTATTAAACTTTGTACTTGTGTGATCAAATTAGGTCATGTGCATAACCAATTAACTAACAATTGCTTGTCAGAAAAAATTAATTCTTGTGAATTATTATCAGGTTGTCGAGTAGTCATATTATGATGAGAATTTACTAGAGAATGTAGTACATGTTGGTGTCTTAAATTTGATTTTAAATCATTTTCTTCCTGATAATTGTAAGAATTTTGTTGCTGTGATGAGTTTTTATCTTGATATGTTGATGAATATAAATCCGATATATCATCTAATGATATTGTAGTTGCTCATGACAAGCTTTTATGTTGTTGTTCTAACATAATAGAATTTTTGAATATCATGGAACTTGCTTTAGAATTTTTTGTGCCATTAAATAAGACTTGTAATTTATTGATATTTTTATTTAAATGAGTATTGTATATCAAGTTTGAATTCATGAAATTTGATTGAATTGAAGTGCTTGATAGTATATAATTTGAATTATAGACTAATTCTGGATTGATATTATATGATAATCTTGAATGACTTGTATAACTTGAATAATCATTATGATTATAAAAGTCTTAACTTTGTTGAATTAGCCAAGCTATATTGTTAGCTGGTGTCAGTATAGTATTATTAAAATTCATCAGCTTATTATGATTATAAAAGTCTTAACTTCGTTGAATTGGCTAAGCTATATTGTTAGCTAGTGTCGGTATAGTATTATTTAAATTCATTAGCTCAAATGAAACACGAACAAGTTCATTAGATTTCTCTAAAAAAAAAAAATAAATAGATAAATAAATAACGAATCAAAAGTATTTAATACAATTCTTATTAATGCATGTATTGGTAAATTTTATAAAAAAAAATTGCTATTTTCATAAATTGTTTGTCTTAAACGTTTATTAGATATCATTTGTTGTCCAGAAGTCTCTTCGTCAGTAATAATATTTGTTAATATTAATACAACATTAACATTAGTATATACTTGTCTTTAAAAATATATACTAATGATTTCCTTTTTTTTGATTTTCTAGCATTTGCAGTTTTTCCGCCTCTAGTTCTTGCTATATTTAGTAAGAAATCTTTTTTTTTATATAAAAAAAAAGAACTTCTTATTTTTATTTTATATAGATAAATACATACACAATTACATGCTAATATCTATTGCATATGTATATAATTAATATATTAAACTTTG